CCTCCTGAAAAACAGTACTTCTTTTTTTTATACTTTGTATAATTAAAATATCTTCTGTTCATAGATCAAATTGTTTGTTTTGCTGAGTATATAGCATTCCAGGTAAGACTTTTGAAGACCTTTCTTCATGGTCTTGCCACCTCTGTGGTGTGAGAGTGGTTACAACATCTTTTTTTTTGCGGGACCAGGGATCACACTCAGGACCTTGCACTTGCCAGGCAAGCACTTATTCCACTGATCTATCTTCCAGCCCAGTTACATCTTTTTATTTTTGCGGAACCAGGGAATGAACTCAGGCCCTTGTGCTTGCCAGGCAAGCACTTAATCTAGTGAGCTATCTCTCTGGCCCCTTGTTCTTCCTTTGTATGTGATGGGTTTTTAATCTCTTGGAGATATGTTACTTTATACTATTCTTTTTTCCTTTTCTTCAGTACCAGGGATTAAACTCAGAACCTTGCACTTTCCAGGCAAGCACTTATTGCACTGAGCTATCTCTCTGGCCCAGTTTTTATCTCTTGGGAAACATAACCTTTATCATCATATTTTAAATTGCTTGATTATAAAGTGTGTTTTCAACGAATATGCTAGACACAGAACCACATTAGTGGTCCTCTTTGCATCTGTAAATTCTGTCCTTCAGTTCTAGGATTTTACTGAATTCTGTTGGACTTCCTTTGTTTTCTGTTGAATTTCTACAATTGTAATGTTGGACCTCTAGAACAGCATGATTTTTCCATCTCTTCCTTCCTATTAGGCACATCTTTGTATTTTTGTTTGTTCTTTCATCTTTCAGATTTTATTTTTCATTGCTACTGTCATATTTTTAGCTTCTAAGAATACTTTTTAATTTTCTAAGTTATTCTTTTTATGGATGTATTTATAGCCACCTGTCCTTATTTCTTAAATACAACTTTTTTTTGGGGGGGGGGAACTGGGGATTGAACTCAGACCCTTGTGTTCAGGGAAGCACTTATTTCACTGAGCCATCTTCCTGGCCCCTGAATACAACATTTTGTATCCACTTTGTTATGTTCTGTTACCACTTGCATTTCAGCTTTCATAGCTTTTGCTCTTATCTTCTAGCATAGCATACTTTTGAAATGAAAAGTAAACATGGGCTAGCCAGATAGCTCAGCAGGTTAATGTACCTGCTTAGGCAGATGCAAGGACTGGAGTTCGATCCCCAGTGTGCTGTGCCAGCCCTGCCCCTGGGGTACACTGCACTTGGGAGGCTGAAAACAGAAGGATCACTATGTGTCCAATCTGTGTAGTAAGACCCTGTAGACCGTGTACTAAATACATTTTTTAAAAAACATAAAATTTTCCAAGAATTTTAGTTGGATTTTTAACATGATAAATACCATGTGTATGTTAGACCATCCATTAATATTCTGTGTTCTGTATATGTGCTAAAGTCAAAATGTTTTTTTTTGGGCCACGGAGATAGCTCAGTGACATAGCACCTGCCTGGCAAAATACCATGTTTTCCTTAATTAGAAATTTTCACTACCTTAAAACTTACAGTGCTTTTTCCACAAGATTGCCTAAATAGGCCTTTCAAAATAGTGGTAGAACTTCCCAAAATAATAATTAGAACTATTTTTTTTTTTTTTTTTTTTGAGGTGGGATGAGGGAAAATGGACTAGAAAGAAAAAGTAATGTTTTTCTTTTTTCTTGTCTCTTCAAAGATTGATCTAGTCTTTGCAAGACTCGCAATACAAACTATATCAGATAACTTAGATCTAAGAGATGACTCTCGCCTGAGAAGCCTTGATATAAGATGTATTCGCAGTTTAAATGGTAAGCTTCTTAAAAAGAAATCTCAGATATATGCTGAGGTTCTTTTTGCACAACTATTAATGGGCTTTTTTAGGTATTGGACTAACTCATTAAAAATGATGTTGGGTGGAGTGTGGGTCACAGTAGTAAAGCACATGCTTAAAATGTGAGAGATCCTGGGTTCAATCCCTAGCACTAAAAAAAGTTGCAATTTCCTTATACAGGTAAGGGGGCCTGCAGGTTAGCTCAGTATTTAAATGCCTGCTTATGCAAACGCAGTCAGGTGCAGGATACCACAGTTAGATCCCCAGCTCCTCATGCCTTACCAGACCCACCCTTAAGGCAGCCTGAGCCAGCCCCTGCTCCCCCCCACCCCCACCCCCAAAATCCTTCTCAACTTTGGGGCTGGGAGATAGCTCAGTGGCATAAGAGCCTGCCTGAAAAGTATCAGGTCCTGAGTTCAATCCCCAGTACGGAGGGGAGGGGGGAAATACTACATTATACTGGTAATATGGCTGTATTTAAGCAACCTAAAAACTGCAAATTTATGTGCAATGGTTTATTTTTAGAGTTGTAGTTCACAAACCTCACTGGGATGAGAACTTCTTTAAACCCATACTAAGGTTTATTGAACCACAGAATGAGGGCTGGGTGTAGCTGCAGGGTAGAGCACTTGCCTAGCACACAGCACCACCAAAAACTGCAGAGTGCTTTGGTTTATGTGGGTATTATCATTCAGTAATAGATTTTTTTTTTTTTAATTTTTATTTGTGTGTGTGTGTGTGTGGCCAGCTCAGCCCACCAGGGGGCGGGGCTGGCTGGCATGTGGTGCTGGGGGATTGAACCGCGGTCCCTTTGCTTTGCTAAGCTTATTCTAAGTAGGTGCTTTAGACCACTGAGCCATCTCACCAGCCCAATAAAAAAAATTTTTATTAATTATTTGGTACAGACTCTGTACACAGCTCAGACTCATAGTGATCCTCCTGTCTCAGCCTTCCTAGCACTGGGATTACAGATGTACCCCATCATGCCCAGTTTTGGTGCCTGGCACAGTGTGCCTGGGGTTCTGGGGCCAGCACAGCATGTGATGCCAGGGATCAAACCCGGGTCCTTGCACTTGTCAGGCAGGTGCTTAAATCGCCAGGCTATCCCCCAGCCCCAGTAATAAACATAATTTTAAGATGTATTTATTGGCTTATTTGGAAACACCAGTAGTTTTTTGTATAAAGAGTGGCTTTTTTTGTTGTTGTTTTTGCAGTACCAGGGATTGAACTCAGGAGCGCTTATTCTACTGAGCTATCTCCCCAGACCCAAGAATGGCTTTTTTAAAAAATAATTTTTCAAATCTCTTCAACATTTGACTTAAAAGAGCTAAATTATTTTATAGTCAACGTGAGGTAATACAGTGCTTTATTTTAAGATACAAGAAAAATCTGTCTTCTTACAGTTATCTACTTGATAAAGGAAAAGTGTTTTAAAAGCCATTTCAGATTATTGTATTCTTTGATACTACACCAAAAGTTGACCATTTATACTTTATCAGCTTTTTTGAGACATAATTCATCTTTCCCAAGTGTACAATTCACTGGCCTTTAGTGTATTCAGAGTTGTACACTATAATCCAATTTTAGAACATTTTATCACCCTCAAAAGATGCCCCATACCCATTTGCTGTCATTTTCCCTTCCAATCCCCAGTCTTACACAACTCATAACCCTCTATCAATTTGCCTTTTCTAGATATTTCATATAAATGGAATCTTACATACAATAGTCTTTTGCATAGGACTTTCTCACTTTGCTTATATGGTATTCTTGAAGTTCGTCCATGTTTGTATTTATTCCTTTTTTATTGCTGAGTAAAAGCGATAGTTTCTTAAAGGTTAATTGAAACATGGAATTTGTAAAATTTTATCTGTTATATTATTATCCATTGGTCTGTCTGTCTTTTGATCGAATCTTTTACCCATGGATGATTTCATAATGTCGTGGCTTTGGTTATTTGGAAAATATTGGTTCA